TAAATTCTTGACAATTTAACTGCCACAGATCATATTGAATCTTTGACATGTTGGTCGGAGGAGAGAGAGAGAGAGAGAGAGAGAGAGAGAGAGAGAGAGAGAGAGAGAGAGAGAGAGAGAGAGAGAGAGAGAGAGAGAGAGAGAGAGAGAGAGAGAGAGAGAGAGAGAGAGAGAGAGAGAGAGAGAGAGAGAGAGAGAGAGAGAGAGAGAGAGAGAGAGAGAGAGAGAGAGAGAGAGAGAGAGAGAGAGAGAGAGAGAGAGAGAAGAGAGAGAGAGAGAGAGAGAGAGAGAGAGAGAGAGAGAGAGAGAGAGAGAGAGAGAGAGAGAGAGAGAGAGAGAGAGAGACAGCCAGAGAGCATGTAAAAAAAAAAAAAAAGAAACAAGGAACAAAGAAACACAGACAGAGAGAGAAAGAAAACAAAGACCTCTACGTACCATGCTTGCGTTTCCCAGGGTTCGCCTCATCAACAATTTTTCTCGACTCGATCATGAGGTCGAGAAAATCCCCGCGGGTTTCCCCGGTCTCCTGCCGGTTGTTCAGCGTCGCCGCCACAACCTGCAATGGGGATTTATATGTATAATTTTATTTACGTATATGAATACATGGATTTTTTTTCGATTCAATGGATAATTAGATACATGATTATATGGATTTTGGATTTTTTTTTCCATTCAATGGATAGTTAGATATATGATTATATGGATTTTTTCGCGATTCAGTGGAGATTAAATTTATGATATGGATTTTTCGATTCAATGGAAATTTCAATTCACAATAGTATGGATTTTTTGCGAATCCGATATTTAGATATATAATTATATGGATTTTTCGCGATTCACTGGAAATATATATTCAGTTGAGATTTAGATATATGATTCATATGGATTTTACGATTCATGTATATATAATATAATTGGATTTTGCGATTTTGGAGATTTGAATATAAAATTGAATACATTTATTGCGATTCAATAGAGATTTAGATACAAAATTATATGGATTTTTCGCGATTCAGTGGGATTAGAATACATAATTACATCCATTTTTTGCGATTCAATAGAGATTTAGATATGTAATTATATGGATTTTTCGCGATTCAATGGAGATTCAAGTGTAGAATAATGTAGCCTTTTGCGATTCAATGGGTATTTAAATATATAATTATGTGAATTCTCCGCGATTCAGTTTAAATTTAAATATATGATTATATGTTTTTTTTTTTCGTGATTCAGTGATTTAAATATAGAATCATATGATTTTTTCGCTCATGTGGAGTAGCTGTACTAATAGCATGGAATCTTGTACATTTAATATCCCAGTATATATTCCATATAAACATTTCTTTATCGTTTAAAATACAATCTATGGAATATTCCGCGTTATTTTTTAAACACATAATCAATAAACACAAACATATCTCCGCATACTTACATTACACGTTTCTAGACAAATAATTGATAAACAAAAGTCTATACATTTCACGTTTCAAGCAATCAGCAAGTAGCGATTGATGCTAACCTTAGCGAAGTACAGCAGACCGTCGCTAGTCGCTCTCATACCAAGCGCTCGACACAAGCGGGGCGCGATGTAGAAGCTGGTTAATTTCATGATCCGCCACATCGTTGGGTTGAAAATACTGCGAAAGAGTAAAAAAAAAATGAATAGAATTATAGATAAATAAAAAATATAAAGAAAAAATTAAAGGAAATAAAAAATAAAGATAAAATAAAAAATAAAGAAAAAAATTAAAATGAAATAAAAAAATAAAGAAAAAAATAAAGATGAAATTAAAAATAAAGCAATTAAAAACAATTAAAGAAAAAAAAAAAATATATATAGGGTTCAAAGTTCGGGTGTGTGCTTCTGTGGTGTAGAAATGGTAGGTATATTTACTCCGGTTAAAGAATTGGATGAAATTGTCCTTGCTGGTAAAGGGGGATGAAAAACTTGACTGTTTATATTTATTCATTGACTGCACAAACTTGCTATTACATTTACTACACATAATTATTTGCTTAGAATCGAGTCCAAATGAATCCATTTCCTCTCTGCTTATCTTTTTAATCATTAATTTAATCCTACAACTAAATCTTAACAATTACTAAGTCTCCCCTATGAGCGTGGTCATCCAGATCAAGTTATTAACATCACACCTCAAGAGAAATACCAAAAAATGAACACAATTCTAACAAGAAACGAACCATCCGAGTGAGAAAAAAACAATCTATTAACGCAATGACCAATTTAAAATAACCAATTTGCGAAAGGAAACAGCAAATCCGAATAAAAAAGACATAAGAAAAATAATGATCCGATACTCACACGGCCGCGATCCTGCAGAACTCGCTCTCCTTGTGGTTCAGAGAGTCACACTGCATCCCGAAGCCGCAGGAGGCCGTCGCGTCCATGCTGAAGCGACCGAGCAGACCCTGGTGGTAAGAGGCGAGAGAAGAGAGAAAGAATGATAAAAAAAAAGCACTGAAAACATAGGAGAAAAAA